GCCTACCTCTTCCGCTCGCCCTAAAATACTGTCCAACTGCCCCGTGCAATTGCCATTTTGGTTGCCTGTTTGCTTGCATTTTTTATTTGTTGGTTTTAAGCGCCTGCACTTTGTCTGCATATGTGTGTGTGTGTGTGTGTGTGCATGTCCGTAAACTACAGAGTGGGACAGAGGGAGAGAGAGAGAGAGGGGGTGTGTCCGATGTGTGTGTTTTGGCGCTGATGTTCATATACTCTCCATGGGAATTGCAGCCAAGTTTACAGTAAATATTTTTGCGATTCCCTTCTCATTCGTTTTTTTTTTTTCGTTTCTTTGGACATACTTTTTTAATTGAGTTTGTTTGGTGATGCAAAAGTGCGCAAAAATTACACAGACAGTCGAGTTATCCTTTATTGGGGGGGTGGGCTATTCCGCCAGCTGGGTTAGTATTGTTTTGATTGGTTTTTAGGCCAGGGTGGCCCTGGGACTCGGACTGGAACTGGCCAATGCATTGGTCCGGACCATTTAAGCGCTACAAGCACTGTGACGGCGCCCGAAAAATCACTTGGCTCCAACAACAAACAACGTTGGACAAAGATTGCAGCAGGAGGCAGGAGGAGCTAGCTGACACAGTGAACCGCCACCAGGTGACAGCTTAGCCGCTGAGACCACAAAGAGCCAATCCATTAAATGCCAGCATGGAAGCGTGGCACGGAATACGAGAACCTTTGATTCATTCGAGTTTATGTACATTCAGATGTGGTGGGATTATTCATACAGTTTTGGTTTAAGAAACTGGTTTCTCGTTACGCAAAATGTTAAGGCTTTGCAATAGAGAACTCTAGAGAGACTTTTAGCTTTCCAAAATAGACACAGATAAACTGGGTACTTTGAACGTTGTGTAAATATAGGAAAATGTTTGTGTAAAGTTTTTTTTCCACTTTCAACTAAAATGTTTTGTTTGCTCCAACTATGTCAAAATATGTCAATACATTAGGGCTGTTCTTTTTTCTATGATTTGTTGGTCAGAAAGTGTTTTGATGGAACATTTGGAGTAGCTTGAAGAGAGTGTTTGCTTGTTTTGATAATGTGTGCCTGCTGTGAGGGTATTTCAAGTAGTTTTGCTCTGAAAAGATAATGTTTCTGACAACACTTTTGAAGAGGAAATTTTATAATTTGTGGACAAATATCGGACTGTAGGTTGGGAAACCAGAAGCACTCTTCAATGAGATATTTATAATGAGAATAAACTTGGAATTTTGTACAGCAGTGTGCGCCCAGTCTGAGATTTTGTCTGCTAGAACTGACGCCAGCCAGCCAGAAGCACAAGCGAAATATACAAAAGAGAATGCCAAAGAATACTAAATCCAAACAAATCTCGTGTGCATCAAGTCGAGTCGTGCCGTTGGGTATTTTTCAGTGTTAATTCGAGAATCTTTGTCGGAATGAATGAACTTTAAATGGATTTTAATTATTAGATCAGAAATTGAGAAAGTGTTTTTATTTTTATCAACTAACATCAAGAAGCCAACAAACTCGCTTTAGGAGCTTTATTCACTTTTACTTGAATTGCAGTGCTGCATCCATCCTTTGACGCAATTTGGGTTTCTATCTGGGGATTTGATTATGTAGCCGACAACTGGTCTACGTGTAAGCATATTCATCATGCTGCCTGTCCTGTATGTAGTTAGTTTCCCCGTAGGTAGGCCGGAGCACCACGCTTATATATCAATTTTGCATTCCCTGCACTCTGGTGTGCCGTGGCTGTGTGCCTTTGTAGTGGGACTGTGTTTGCACATCCTTTGCACAGCCGCCTGCTGTCTTTGTTTGCCCTGCCCATTCATTCGAACACACTCAAGCGCACACACACACACGCGCTTTTCTTTCTCTATTTTTTGTATGAAACACTCAGTCACTCGTATACTCTATCCTCTGCTGTTGCTGTTGCTGTTGCTCTACCCTCTGCTTCATGCATATGCATTGTTTATTGATTTTAGCGCTATATCTATGAGGGGCTCTTTGCTTTCGCTGCCACTGCCGCTACCGTTCTACCTCTACCTCTACCACTACCACTACATCCATAACCGTACATCCATCTATCTCAACTGCTCTCTCTACCATATCACTTTGCAGGGGCACACTCGGCCTAATTGTGAGCGGCATCTCCATATTCTGGTGTGCCATATCGGCCTCGAAACTGTTCGCCACAGCGTTCTCCATGGACCATCAACAGATGCTGATTGCCTATCCGTGTGCGGTGCTCTATGGAGGATTTGCCTTGATTACCATTTACTAGGCACGGGCGAGCGGTCGGGCCTTCAGCTATACCACCTCGTCATATGCTCTCGCACTCGCTCATCTCTCTCTCTCTCTCTCTCTCTGTCTGTCTCTCTCAGCAGCAGTAGCCTCGTTTTAATTGTCCTGCAAACACATACTCGTACATATGAAGAAAATAGAAAGAGAGCAAGAGAGAGAGAGTGACTGGCACACACACATGGAAGGCTATATATGTATGTATATGTTTTGTAAGAAAATAAGAGCTGATTGCGAATTTGTTGTTCCATCTCTTCCCCTACTCAACCATATCTCCCCCCCTCTTTTTTTGGTTGTGTTATGCCGTGTAATAAATTTGATTGGGAATAAAAAAATGGTTAACAAATTGAAATTGGTTTTTTGCCATACAGATAAAGGGGGGCATACACAGAGCTACTCTATTTATACATATGTATGTGGTAGTGTAAGCAGCATATTGGAATTTCACGCGCTCGTTTCCGTTTCCGTTTTGCATCGCGCACTTTTTCGGTGGGCATATGGAACATTAACGCCGAACTCTTTGCTTTATTTTAATAACTCTGCTTCGCCATTTTGCTGTGGAAATGTGGGCATTATGCCATGAATCAGTTGGCTTTTTTATGGAATACATATTGGGAGTATTCATGAGGATGAACCATCGATCAGGTGAGTGTAAAAAAGTGACTTAAAGCATGGCGGTCTATAGAGAAAGGATGCCGAACTGATACCAGGAGCCATCAATATTGAAGGCCAAACCGTGTGCTAGCGTGTATTTAAGTACAAGAAACAGCTCCTTCGACTTGCAGAATGATCACATGCACTATTAATATTAGTTCCACTAGTTATAGGTATTTAATGCTTCTAAATCATTTAAGAAACATAAACTCGTACGGGTAAGTTTTCAATGTGTCTTTTGTGTCTTTCCTGCTTGACACAATCATGAAAATATAAATCGAAATTACGAATAAATATCCATAATATGAAAAAAAAAATATGCCAAATCGTGCACAAATCGTAAAAAGTTCCATTATTGATTTTTTAGTGCAATATTTATAGTTTTTATTTGTTTATTTTGAAGTTTCTGTCATTGATATTGAATCGACTTTCTATTATTTGATTTTATTACATTTTTTCGTCGTCAGAGTTGTCATTTCTTTTCGAACGTGTGAAATTGTTCTATAAAAGATTTTGAAAGCTACGAAAAGCGCACAAACTTCTCAAACCATGAGACGCCACCGGTATGACAACGATACCACGGTAATTAGTCCACAGGGACGGATATTCCAGGTGGAGTATGCCATGGAGGCAGTGAAGAAGGGAGAGGCCACCGTGGGTCTGAAGAACAAGGACTTCACCGTGCTGGCTTCACTCTACGAGCCATCGGCTGAAGGGACAATGCAGCGAAAGATAATGCCCGTGAGCTCGCAGCTGGGCATATCCTTTGCGGGTGTGGCACCCGATGCCAAAACCCTCTTCCGCCACATGCTGACCGAGACATTCACCTATCGCGTTTCGTACATCGGGAAAATACCTGTAGATCGGCTGATGATCAATCTGGGCAAAAAGGTGCAAGCCCAAACCAACCGCTACGATCGTCGCCCCTTTGGGGCTGGCCTCTTGGTGGCGGGCTACGACGAGCAGGGATCCCACCTCTTCCAGGTGATGCCATCGGCCACTGTCATCAAATGCCTAGCCACTGCGATTGGGTCGCGTTCGCAGATAGCACGCGACTACCTGGAGCATCACATGCAACACTTTGAGGGCTGCTCGAAGGATGATTTAATTTGCCACGGCATTCGGGCCATTCGCGGACCGCTGGGCATCGAGCAGAAACTCAACATACAAGTGGCCATCGTGGGCAAAGACGTAGAGTTCAAAGTCTTTGGCGAGAAAGAGACTGAAAAGTATCTCCAAATGGCAAGCCAGTCAGCAGATGGAGCCGATCTTTAATGTTTAATGTTAATAAAATAAAACGGAAACACATCTTTGAATATCTTCAGATATCTGGTCTGGATCCTTTTAAGCCATAATCAACTTTATCTTTCATTTCAAAACACTCTTATGACAGAGCTTAGTAGCTTAGGGGAACAGTGACTAAATCTCGACTGCCTCACAATGCCTCACTGATGTCTCAATTAAATGACCACTTCAGTTGATTGTTTTGTGTTTTATCTATTTTTGTTTGTAGTACAAATAAATGCAATAAAAATTACAAATACACAAGCACTTAACTACTATAAATAATAGAAGCAGCTCTTCACCTGTCGTTCTCTCTTTTGTGAAAGCAAATAACAATTTACTTGTAACTCAAAATTCATTTGATTATATTTTCTTATTCTAATCCACCAGCAGCGCCTTGGTAATTAAGCTTGGAATATTTTGCCACTTGTAATGAATTAAAAATAGCATATATTTTATTGAAGGTTTTCCCTTAAAGCACATTTTATCTCTCTAGCACAGGGCTGAACATCTTTTCCCGTAAGCTTCAGGTATTTATGATTTCACATTCAGATTTTCTCTCCCTTCTCTATGGCTGGTGCACTAATCGACAACAAACGATGCAGATGCCTGGCGAAAGGCTTTCTTTCTTTCAACTACCATTGAATTCGATTGGAAATTATTCGATTGTGAAGTTGCTGCAGCAATTGGGATTTCAACTGCAGCCACAAAGGATATTGGTGTTCATTTTGCATTGCGATTTGGTAATGAAAATCACATAATTCTCAGCCGCATGCAGAGTGTTAATTGAATTTGTTAATGGGCGCAAAAATATTACCCAGAAAAAAAGGATCTCCCACAAAAAAAAAAGGATTGTCCCGTGCTGTTGCTGCCATATGCAAATAATTCAACGTTGTTGTCGCATTTTCATATTACATAATTAGCGTTTTCTTTTCTCCTTTTGGTATATTTTGGGACGGTCGGTCCTTTGCCCACTAATTCGCTCTCGCACACCCTTCCTCCGTTCCTCTTTTTACCATTTGTCTGCATGAATAAATTGCAAAAATGCGTAGCATTTGCTTTGCGCTTTTTGATTTCCGTTTTGGCTGCTGCTCTATCTCGCTCTCTTTCGCCCGCTTTCACACTCTCCATCTCTCTCCCTTATGCAAATTGTTGTAATTACTACAATTCGGTTGAGCATTTTTATGGCCAAAGCTGTGAAAAAGGCGAGGAAACTGAAAGGGAAAAAAAAGGAAAGGAAAAAATTGGTATAAAGAAATGTATGCGGAAATATTTGTGCGCTAATTGCGTGGCCTGAAAGAGGAGCCAGAGCCGGCAGCCGGCAGCCGGTAGCCGGTAGCCGAGAGGATGGAGAGCAGAAGTAAGGGGAAGAGGACCTTGGGAAGGATCTGTGTGCTTAAGCATTTTACGCTCATCAAAGGCGTCGCTTGCCATTAGCGCCATTAATAAACACTCGTTAGGAGCTGGCTGGCTGGGGAGCAGGAACAAACGCTGAAGCTGAAGCTGGAGCAGGACTCTCGAATGTGTTGCTGATAATTAGAATTAGCTCACAATTAGCTGGGACTCGGTGTGCAGCTTTTTCCTTTCATAAGCTTATTAGTTTCACGACTTTGCATACCCTTCGAAGCGGGTAGCACCATATTCGCAATCATCGATTGTGACGTGGGAAAATATAAGTTTTTCTTTCTGTAAATTTCGGAACAAAACTTATTCAAAATTTGTTGCTGCCAAGGGGAAACGCTTGGTCGTTAAGGGTATCTAAGCTTTCGTTGCCACAGCTCTACGTTCTTTATTGTTCCGCTCTGATTATAAGCAGCTTGGTCTTGAAAAATCCTTGGCTGCAAAAGAGAATGCTGGCTGTTAGACCATCCCATCCATTCCATTCCATTCTGAGCGCATCTTCCCCCTCCAGCACAGCCCATCGAGCGTTAAGCGTTGAGCCAACACAATGGAAAAACACCTGCGGACAAAAGCTGCTTACGGAAATGCATGGCCAAAGAAAGGGGGTGGTGGCTGGCGTAGGGGGGACAACAAGAGTTATTACATTTTAGCTTTTCCTGCAGAGCCACTCCTCGTGCTCATCTTGGGTTTGTTCTTTCATCTTCTGCTGCTGGATGCTGCTGCTGGCTGCTGGCTGCTGCTTTTGTGGCTGCAACTTTGCTGCATTTTAATAAATATGCAATCTAAAAACGTTTCCCACACAGACAAAGCCGCAATAGCCACAAGAGGCGTAGAGTCGCAGAGGGGATGATGGCTTCAGGGCTGCATGTGCATGTGTGTGTTTGTGTGTGTGGAATGTGGCATGGCCTGTACCAATGCCAAGAGTAAAGGCGTTAATTACGCTTTCCCTCAAGAGCAGGCAATAGAAAGCGAGACGACAGCCACATTATGGCTATAGACCTTAATGGCACCTAAAGGATAGGTGGAGAAGTGAAGCGCAGTGCTGGGCAGACACCAAAGGGGAGGTGTGTCTGCATCGGTTGCACTTGCCACATTTTTAATTAGCGCTCTTAAAAGCTCATTGAATGGTCAAAAAAAAAAGAGGGAATAAAAAAAGGAAGCACAACGAAACACGAAGCGAGGTTGTCAGTCAACTGCACTGAAAGAAAATTATAAGCTGTCAAATAGAAAAATGCAAAGCAGATTCAACTCCATGCAGCTTCCAAATGTTCCAAATTTATAGCTCTTAAACTCTGAAAATATAAAGAATAAAGAATTTATTAAGCAGATAAAGTGATTTCCGGTAATAAAAGATGCTGCAGGCCATAACAGAGTCTCCGAATCGCACACCGAAGAAAGCCATTTCAAGCTGGAGCTTTTGTTGTCAACTAACAGCTGTTAAGTGCTCACAGCAGACGCTCTTACTCTAACTCTGTTACCGCTCCCATGTACGCCGCTCCGTTAACAGTCAGTGAGCGTTCTCATTTACAGCGCACTGCTAACGCTCTCTGGCAGCGCTCGCTCTCACGATCCACACCGTTTTTGAGCTGAAAAACAGCTGCTAAAATGTACAGTAAATTATACATAAAATTATAAATTATGCTACAGCTTCAATTATCTCTCGTTTTTTTTTTGGCCAGTGTATGGCTGGGTGGGTCTCTGCTGTATGTGGGTGAGTGCTTCTCCTACCATGTGTGGGTGTGGTTGCATTAACGCTTCAGCAGCGATGTTGTGGGTACGCAAATGGCCACGTAATAACAGCATGTTCCAAAGGTCAACAGGTGCAAATCGCACCACCCAACCCAGCCTTGAAGAATTTCAAAAATGTCAATCATACAGCTTTGGCCTTATCACTTAGTCAGTCAGTTAGTCAGTCACTTAGCAAAGAAATTTAAACACATTTAAGGCAAGCAAATGGAGAATTAAATCAAGCTAAGCAACGATCCAATTGAAGGAGGGTTTCTAACATTTCAAATAAATGCAAAGAATGTTTCACAGCTGCCATTAAGGCAGGTCTATCTCCGGAATGGGTTGAGTTGCAGCCAGTGGGAAGATTTAAATGGACCACTTGACGAGCCTTTCAAATGCATGGTTGGGATGGAGAGTGAATTCCTGAAATGCATAGAGAATTAGCCGGAGATGAGCGGTTGGGTTGAAGGGAAGCACGTGTAAAAAGGTGGCCAGATGTTGCATTGCTTCCGCTTCGGCAGCCGCCACTCTCCGCGTCTACCACTTCCTCTCTCGTTGACTGGGGCCAAAGCCAGACCAAATTGCTGGTAAGCCCCAGCCTCAGCCTCAGCCTCAGCCTCGCACACATCGTACACATCACATCGTTGGGTTGCAGCTTAAAAGCGGAATGCAACATTTATGGTTAAGCTTCCAAAATGGCTGCCGCCACACATGCAACAAGAGGGTGGGACAGAGGGAGAGAAATGTGGCTGGCAACTTGGCGCGTTGATTGCTGCGGCCAGAGATTGTTGCACACTTCCGGAGCGCCTCTACAGAGAATGACCATGAGATTTGATAGATGGATGGCAGGATGGAGGGATGGCTGAAAGGTTGCCAAGTACTGGGAATCAGATAAATAATCTACGGCTCTAGACAATTTCAGAACCAATTAGCTGGACAACAAAACACTTGAATGGAGCTGGAAAGCATAGCTAGAGAAAATAAAATCCATTTTCCTCGCCTTCCCTCTTTTGCATTTGCTTTTGCTATTGGATGAGGCTGGAAATGCTGGATTACCTGGCCATGTTTATTGTTTTTCACTTTTTATGCACTTCAATGAGCTTCGACTGTGGATCCTGGCGTGTGTGCGACTCAAGGATAGCAATGAGGCGGTGGAGGAGTCTAGGCGCTTCCAACTGAACTGTAGATAATCCCCTGACAACAGCAGTTAACAGGCAACGATTACTTGGCAACAAGTCAATTACGAGTCTCAACTCTAGTCGATTCCTCTATCTCTCTCTTTCACTCTCAGTGCGGCAGCACAGCCTGGTTACACCGATAAGAGAGACTCACTCCTCCTGCTAGCCAACTTGGACTTGGGTATACAATAAATTCCTCGACCGCTCTAGCTTCAGCTCTCATTGCGGAATCCCCTTTAATGCGCTAACTAATTGAGCGGGGTCATGCGGGTAGTAATGGCTGAAAAAACGAAGATGGTGAAGACCTGTGTGGAGTAGCTGGCTGCCAGTGCCTGTCCCAGTTCCATCGCCAAGTGGCAATCGCTTGTAATCTGCAACTGTACGAAGGGTATATGTGTTGGGCGAAGGAAGGAGGGCTTTGTTGTGGTTCAGAGGAAATGAATTCTTTCATGTTTGTCCAAGATTTATTTCAGATATCGTTGGATTATCATTGCTAGAAAAACGAAATAAGTATTCCCCCCCCTTCTTAGGGTACCAAACCATTCGTTCATCTTGCTCTCGTCTCTGCCATAGCACAAATTACTTTTGGCGAAATTTTTACAACATTTTTATTGCCTGTCGAATGGGCAGTGGGAGGACCGACCCGTCTGAGAGGTCAAGATTTGGCTGGCTTTGCGATTTCAG